AGTATCTCAAACTAAAAGCCAACTTAAATTATGTATTTATTGAAGTTTGGAGACATTTTAAAATGATTTTTTTCAGAACCGCATCTGACACTTGTGACGGTCGGGGTCGTGGGGTTGTGGTGCGTGACTGCTCTTCTGAATAAGTGAAACCTATGTAACACACTTGTTTACACTGAAATTAAAAATATTTGACCAAAGTAAAACTGGAGCAGGACTACAGAGAAASCTCCAGCAGAACCAGAACCAGGCTGAGGACAGGGGGCCATCTACCTTAACCGGATGGGTTTGGGGGACAGTGGGAACTGTTACACACAAAATWGAAAAATATTGGCTGATAAAATGTTCGAGTGGCCGATACAAAATGATCTCCACCAACCACGGTGACCGGTGGTGAAAATGTTTAATTTCCACCTGTATGCTAACCTCAGGTAAAGGCTTTTGAAAACTTCAGGGACAAGGAGAACAAACATGAAAGCTAAAATTAACTGTTATATTGTTGAGTAAATGGTAAGTGCAGCACCTTTCTATCCAACCAGGATACTCCCAGCTCTTTACAATCTGTGTTAAATATTCACACAGTGCTCTACTAGATCTCTACAAAGATAATACCAGTGCTTTAGATCACATTCATTGAATTAAGAAGGAAAGTACTAATGAAAAATAAATTGAACTGTTAATACCCCATTATTCTGAAATATTCTGACCACAGCCACYGTAGAAAGACCTACTGGGGTGCAGGATCCTTCTCACAAACATAAACCTCGACCCAGATGGGTTCAGGATGGCCGGTCTTGTTCCGATGCTGCTCACAGTATTTCAGGGTTTGYACATTTTCACCTTTCCCACGGTAAATGGTAAAATGATAAATGGACTSTACTTATATGRCGTCTTTCTATCCATCCAGGACAYTCRAAGCSCTTCACACWACAATCTGTGTCCTCATTCACACAGCACTCTATTAGATCTCYACAAAGCTAACATTTACAATCAGCTATGGAGACTAATCAGTGCCAAATCACATTCATACACTGATGGGACACACATCAGAGGCATTAGAGGTGAAGTGTTTTGCCCAAGGACACAACAACTGAGACAGCTGGATGGGGGATCRAACCGRTGACCTTCCAGTTCCAGTAYGACTCCCCTAACCACTCTGCCACAGTAAAATTCAAGCACTTTTCAAGTATTCTTAGGCTAAATTGTCAAACTTTTCCAGCATCAAACATCAGAGCAGTCTGTACCTCTGTATCTGTTAGGTTAACCCTGGGGTTGGGATTTTAGAAAAGTACATATACTTAGGTTTGTGTTGACAATTTTTTTATACATTAAAGTGTTTTTTTTATTTAGTTTGTTTTATTGATTATTTAATAATCAGATGGGGGAGTGTGATGGAAATAATACTTTTAGGTTTAAGCCAGTAATTCATGGCATACTTTAAAGAGGACCTATTATGCAAAATTCACTTTTTAAAGGTTTTTCTACTCAACTTTGGGTATGTACTTCTTAAAAAAACAGTCCTAGGACC